CCTCCTCCTCCTCCCCCGAAAACGGCATGGCGTTTGGCTTTCCCGCAGTTGGCAGTTTCGAGTGAATATGTCGTCGGCCCGGACAACGCCGTTTCCAACCAAGGTCATGATCGTCGGTGCCACGGGGTGCCAGTACCGCCAGGTGAATAGACGATGACGGTAGGGGAGATGGGAGATGAGACACATGCAGGTTGGGTTGTCTTGTTCCGGTTCGTTCCTCCCAAGGGAAGTATCATTAGCTCTCAAGGGTATATACATACATACATATACATACACAAACACACACACATATATATATAGGAATAACAACTTCTTGCCTTCAACCCGCTGATCCTCCCCTTTTCAATTCCTTCCTGGTTCAGTTGTGAATCCCCCCACCCCAACCTCAATTGGTTACGGCTGTCTTCTCATACTTTTTTTTTGTCTCACGCTCGTCTAAATAAGCAGAGTGACGCCTTTGTTTCCTCTCTTACTACAAGATAGAGAAGAATAAACAGAGGAAGAAAGGAAGGATGCAGTTGCGGAACCGTCTTGCGAGCTTGGCGACGGCAGTGTCTGCCCTGTCGTCATCAACGCTCCCCCTCGTGGCTGCTGCGTCTGCTGCGTCGGTGTCTGTCAACGAGACGACGCCTCGACCGGACAAGGATGGCAAGTTTTGGATCTCGAGCGACGTTCTGAAGCTGGGTTTCGTCGAGTACGGAGCGTCCATCTCGGACCTGCAGATCGAGGACAAGAACGGCATCAGGCGGGACGTCGTGGCGGGCTGGGACAACGCCACCTACTACACGCTCGACTCGGTGCACCCCACGTTCGGGGCGGTGCCGGGCCGCTATGCCAACCGCATCAAGAACAGCACGTTCGAGATTGACGGACGGAGGTACAACGTGTCGGCCAACGAGAACGACGGGCGCGACACGCTGCACGGCGGCGCCGACGGGTGGAGCTGGCGCAACTTCACGGCCGTGGCCCACACGCCGTCGTCCGTCACCTTCTCCATCGTCGACCCGGACGGCAAGGAGGGCTTCCCGGGACAGGTCATCTCGTACGTGACGTACGCCGTCGACGGGCCGGACTGGTACATATCCATCGTGGCCGTGTCGACGACGGAGAAGACGCCCATCATGCTCACCAGCCACACGTACTGGAACCTGGACGGCTTCGCCAACACCGGCACCAACACGGCCCTCAACCACACGCTCCACATGCCCTACGGCCGGCGCCGCGTCGCCGTCGACGGCATCCTCATCCCCACGGGGGACATCGTCGACAACCCGGAGGGCTCCGTCAACGACTTCTGGAGCCGGCCCAAGCAGCTGGGCGCCTCCTTTGGCGACCCGGACATCCAGGGCAACTGCGGCACAGGCTGCGCCGGCTACGACAACTGCTGGACCGTCGACCGCGACGACGACGACGACGACGACGACGACGACACCCTGGGCCACGCCGACTGGCTGGCCGAGGAACCCCCGGTCGTCTCCGTACACTCCGACTTCTCCGGCATCGGCATCGACGTCTACACCGACCAGGCCGCCCTTCAGATGTACGCCTGCAACGGGATGGACGGCACCGTCGCCCTCAAGAGAGACCAGGGATTCCACGGCGACGACGCAGAGTTCCCGCGCACCATCCCCCAGTACGGCTGCCTTGTTCTCGAGGTCCAGGATTACATTGACGGCATCAACAACCCGCAGTGGGGACGTCTGGACAAGCAGATCTGGGGTCCCGACGACGGTCCTTATACCGTCCGAGCAAAGTACCACTTTACTGTTGACAAGTAAACGCTGCCCTCTCTTCCCTCTCTCTTCTTGTTCTTCTTTTTTCTCGAACATTACAATGGCAACTCTAGGTAGGATAGTAATATCTATCAGTTTCAATCAGCAATGACGTATACAAAACTTCTATTTGCAATAGAAACAAACAAAAACAACCCCCCTCCCCCCACAAAGGAAAAAGAAGCAGAAGAAGAAGAAAGAGGCACAGTGTCGCATAGACTATAGCAGTATTACTCGTAATCATGTTGTAGATAGATCATGCGCCTTGTAAGAGTAAAGAAGTGGGCAGAGGGGAGAAGGGAGAGAGAAAAAGAGAGAGAGGTTTAGTGTCCCAACATGGAAGAAAAAAAAAAGATGGTGGGGCAAGTGCCTCTTTCTCATAAATTTCACCCCACCATTCATCGACTCATCAAGATTTCATATCATCTCTATTTTTCTTCTTTTTTCCTGTCTTTTTTGTCCTTTTTTTTTCTTAAGGGAGGGGCTGAAGAAATAAGATTAAAAAAGGCGTAGTTGAGTTTCTCTGACCAAGACAGAGATGGAGGAGGACCGTGCTCAGACAGATCTGGGCATCGCCGCCGATATCGAAGAGGCTCAGAACTTGTCGCCATCAGCCAGCGAGTCACAGATAACACCGCCGCCACTTCCGGCCCAGACAGAAGAAGATCAGGCAGTCCAGCCGCCGTCGACAGCAAAGAGCCCGGGAGATGCAGTGAAGCAGCCGAAGAAGAGGTTCGTCGGGCGGAGAGCCGCTACCGAGGCAGCCGCCGCCACGGCGGCGACGGGAGATGAGTTGAGCGACAGCCGTGCCATTCAACGTAAGTAGACTTGGTGTCGTGAGACACATGCACACACACACACACACACACACACACACACATGTATATATATATATATATATA